TGCCCTGCCTGACCGAAACTATCAACAGTTTCCTTGGTATTCAAAAGCTTACTACCTTACTTTTACCCTTTAAAAAAAAACACTTATACGCGATAAATTATAGTTAAACTTGTTTGAAAATTATTTTAACTACGGCCTGACGTTTCGGATGCTATTGCAGCAGCCGTGGACACGGGGAGACGTGTCTAGTCAAGTATTTTATTTAAATGTGTATTACTCGCGTAAACTACAGACAGTATTTACTATTAACCTTCTTACTTATCTATGTAATATTACCTGGATATAAAAAAAAATAACAGAATCATTAATATTTAGTAAAGTGCGGACATTTTTAAAATGTAGACGAAAAAGTTATTGAAAAAATACTTATGCAAAAAATTATAGTGTAAAGACATAAAAGGACATAAAAGCTCATTCGATCTAATGGTGGCTATGCATTGCTCAAAATCACCGGGTTGTGGGTTCGATTTCCACCAAATCGACAGAGCATCTAATTAAAATGTTATATGACTATGCTATTCCACATTCCATGAACTGAATCTCGTTCTTGTTTCTCCTCCTGTCGTAAAAATCTTGTTTTCGATATAATGTTTATGTATGTTTGTATCAAATTATATATTATTTTGCAGCGCATATGTAGTAAATAAATTACTACATAGTGCTTTCCTGGCTCCACGCAAACGTCATAACAAATATATTATTAAGTTCCCAATATGAAAACAACATTTATTTTAACAACATCGGTAACAATGTACGTTGCATCGTATTTTCCATTATTCCGCACAGCGCAGTGACTTCCAAGATGTCTAGATTATTAGCAGTTGGAGACTCGACCGAGTGCGATCGCTTCGCTGCTCCAATTTGCTCACGTCAGCTTCCATCAGACAACGGATCTTGTTATAGACTTGTCAATAAATATTTGTCATATTAATTTCAAAAGTAAAATCACGTACTTATTATCAAAATTCCTTTCAATAGTCATTACTGCTAACGTGTTATATAATGCGTAATCTCACTATAAGTATTGTCTACAGCTTGCACAGGAAATACACGTTTGAATAATACACTTTTAACTTTAACAATATGATATCTATTGGTTAGCTTAAATACAATTTATTTTACACGGGGACTATGACTACTGCAGAGCATCCAAAACATCGGGTCGTCGGTAATATAAATTGTAAATACGATAAAGAATGTATTTTCGCGTTTTAAACCGTTAAATAAAATCTGAATATAGTTTCAAAACCTTTACTGGGCATCCCGAAACGAAGATGTATGTTTATTTTTCCGTTAAAAATATTTCAGCCGCATTTGTATTTAATTTTGACTATATCTTTAAATAGTTGTTGTCTATTGTTACATGAAAATGGTTTAGTTCATAGTAAAGTCGGGCAGATCAATCGTCATATTGTAGGAGATTTATTTTACCTTCTACGCACAATTTATAACTTACGCGACGTTTTATTATCAAAATATACAATAACAATAAATAAACAAACAAGACAAGACAATAGTAATTCAAGCCTTTATTCGTCTTTCTCCTTGTTTGGCTTACCTGCAGCCGTTTTAACAGATGTTTCTAGTTATCTAAATGAAATCTCTGCAACAAACTGTAGCAAGCACAGACATTCATATCGTTATGATTCTTTAATTATACAAATATTTTCCCCTCAACTGCGAAACCATTTAAACCGTAAGGCTGGTATTGTTTTTTTACGTCCAAAAAAATACAATTCCTTTCACGTTTACGAGTACCGCGGTAGCCTTTCAGAAAAATATATCTTAATTTCATAAAAAGATGTCATCAAACTGTCTAGAGAAGGAAATTAAATCCCTTATCTCATCGTCCTGATAAAATCCCTCGTCTATTTCGTCTCGTCGTTTTAAATTGAACAGCCTGTATTTCGATATAAAGCCACGTTCATGTTGAAAATAACTTAAGGCATGTTAGACGCGAAGTTTAGTAAAAATTTGCAAGAAGATGAATTTTCAAATGCTCGACGCGCGATTTTACGCCCTGGTAATTTTAAGGAATGTCAGAGATATGAAATATCAAAATTATATTACCTTTTTTCACGACAAATAACAGACGACGGCTGTATGCTGAATGGAAGATTTTAATTTTTTTTTGTTAGTTACGGCATTTATCGAAGAAGGCTATAGGCATAAAACATCGAGCTGTGAGTAATAGAAGCGAAGAAACAGCGGGAAATTTGAAGATAATATGTTCACGATACCCAAAAAATATATATTGAATAATGATCATTTTTAAATGATCTAAAAAAAAGACCGCCACGCTACTAAGATTAACTCGCAAGAACGACCTGACGCGACCGACGTTGTGGGTAACTGCTTAAGTTTATAATAATGAAGAGGAGATTTGCAAAAACAAATTTGGATGCCCAAAATTACTACTCTTTGCGGACGAAGCCGCTGGCATAGCTAGTTGTAACAGACAGTTTAGAACCAAAGCGTTGATATACACAGAACAAGCCGGAGTGAGTTTCTTCTCGGTAATGCTGCTCTTTGAAAACATGACCGAGAAGTCATGTACAATCACGACAAACAGACAGACAAACATTTTTTGATGAATCTAAACAAATCGTAAGGAATAATATATTTTAATATTTTTATTTTATTTTCAAGTAAGTAATGATTTAGAGGCATCTTGGGCACAATAAGAATCACACATTAAGAACCACAACACAATTAGTCCAATACATTGCAAATACTTGACCAACAAGGGAAATAAATTATTATTGAGGAAACATTCAAAATGTATATATATGGACATAAAATATAGACTTTAATTTAAAAAGTTAACTAGTCACACTCAATTACAGAATAAATTTCACAGTGCTCCATGTTATTTAAAACTTGTTTCACCGTCATGATTTAGCACATTATTTCAAGCTGTTTTCCACGCCATTTCAAGAACAATACCAAGTTGTTAACGAAATGAAAAAGCTTACACCCACATTATTCATTTTATTCGGTACAGCGAAGTAGCCATTAAGTCGCTGTAAATTCACCAAGGGATCTCGGAACGTGCGATTTGAAAAAAATGAAAAATTGTACAAAAAATTTTTACATGAAGCGTTTGTCCCTATGTCGGTCCACTCATAATTACAAAAAAAATGGTTTACAAATACATCGCCAGATCAGAACTGTAACATATGTAACCTCGTTATTAATAAACGACACCCAAGAGTATAAAAAACTTCACGTCGATATCGAAATATAAAACGTTAGTGAGTAATCATATATACTATTTATTAAACTGAAGAGTTGTTTATTAAAACGCGCTAATCGTGGGATCTAATATGGTTCTAATTGAAAAGTTATTTTTGTATTGAATAGACTATCAGGAAGGTTTTATATTAATAGATACGTAAGAAGCAGGAATGTGCGCCGCGAAAACGATACAAGAACCAAAAAATATGCATGACGAAATTACTTATATCTAAACGATCTACAAAAATGTCCGCGATAAAAATGTCTTGTTTGTATCTTTTTAAGTAAGCCCAATTGGTTGGTCGAAATCAATGCATTATACCAATTATATGTTTGAGTTGTATCAACATAATAAAATTAATCTTGCAAACAACAAAACAAACTTGCCGGATCGGCTAGTTAATATTATATATATGATAAATATCTACAACGGAGAAATATCAAACCACCGGCAGTTATAAATAATGTTGGCTCACGAATAAACTTAGCACCCCAAAAAGTTTTCTTGTTGCTTAATTACATTTTCATTTATCTTTCCTTTCAATTGAGTCAGAGTTTATCTACACAGCGCAGATTGCTCCGTAATGAACTCGTTACTTCTAAATTAATTGTTCTGTTCAAGATTAGTTATAACAAGAATGGAATGGATACATAAAATGCAATAGCACTACTAAACTCTACAAATTAAATTTGTAATAGTTTACAATTGCTTAATACCAAACAAATCTTGTGTATTTTACTACTCCTTATAATCTTTACAAAAATTATAATGCCAAACATCTATTGTAATTAAAAAGGCTATCAATCATAACATAATTCTATTTCAGCTGCGGCGCAAGCATTAATCTTAGTGAAATTATTAAAGTTAATAAATCAGAAAGAAAAGGTAATCAGCGGAATCTCAATTAAAAAGGTGATTACGATTCTTGGCAGGGTGGAAGTGGGGGGCATGTCTTATCGCCCGACGGTGAGGATATTGTCTGTCGAATTGAAAGTGACGTGAGCACCTGGCTCTTTTCGACGAAATTAAAAAAGTTTTCAGTAACAGAACTTTGATCGCGTTCATTTAAATTCTAACGGATTCACGTTATTCCCAATTTTGTCATTCGCGAATTGAGTTCACCAGTGTGAAGCCTTGAACAGATATAATATATCTATGCCTACTTCCTTAGCTACATTAATTCAAGACAAGTGTTCGAACCGCAACTGTTATGAATTCCCCGTATAAACCAGGATCTCTCGCAATTAACGCAATCTTAGTATACACGCTAAAACATTGAGCCACAAAGATACTTTAATATTTACCGAATTATTGTTTTCTTATCCGATTGTTTACCTGCCGCTACCGGGTAAGAAATTAATAATATTGTCAGTTTTTGTTTGTATGCATGATTTACATTAGCACCTACACGAGTAAAATGATTTAAATAAACGTCAATCTGTTTGTAAAAAATGTCTAGGTCATTACCCAGTAGTAATTTAAAGTCTAATTTTTACTTTAATTATAAACGTCTCAATATGTTTAATACCAAGGCGGGTCTTACCACCCACATGGAAATGAAAAAAGTATATATATGTTGTATCAACAAAGTACAAAATCACATACATACGTACTAAATTACGAAATCGGTTTTATATGTTGAAATTAAATTAAGCAAATCAATAAAACAAAACTTTAATAACGTGCAAGTGATAAACAGCGCCTAAACTAAAACTCAGGATCCAAAATGCCACGGCCATTTCGTTAAATATGGTCTTTTATATCATACTCCAGAATTAACCCTTATCCACGAACGTATCGGAGGACTGGCAAGATTAGTGTACACTCCCGGAGTTCCTGCGCGGGCGCATCCAATTCCAAAGGAAACTACCCCAACCTGAGTTTCTGAGGAAGTGAAAACTACAGGACCACCAGAGTCACCCTGAAAGGATTACTATTTTAATAAAAGTTAATCTATTGTATAAAATCTATTAAATTAATTATACAACCGCTTACAATTTAGAAAAACAATCGATTTATTTAATAATAATCTGTCTGTGAGAGTCTGTGGGTACGCTCCTTTCACGATATTTGATTTAATAAAAAGTAAATTTAAAAAATGTCATTAGACCTACTTTGTATGGTTTAAAAGTCAAACAAAAGAAAAATTGGATCGCTTACCTGGCAGGAATCCTTGCCACCTTCAGGTGTGCCTGCGCAAAACATCCTGTCTGTTATTGCTCTCGTACCATACGTCTTTCGACAATCATCATTGCTTACCACTGGTACTTGCACAGCCATGAGATTTTCACTTGTTGGTCCATTTTCCTAAAATTTTGATATTAGAAAAATCTTTATATTCCGACCAGAATCTGTTACATGAAAATACATCCCGAACAAAACCAAACACATGAAAATGTTGAGAGTCACAATTATTACACATAAAAAAAGGGAAATAAAAAGTAAATTCCGTAAAGTGAGTGACAGTTTTATACCGATATCCTTCAATACATATTCAAATATCCAAAGCCGAAAAAAATAGGTAAATGGCTGGGGTGTTTCATTAAATGACCCTATCTTCCTCTATAAAAAAAAAAACATATAATCCATCTATCTTTCAAAATGTACACATCGTGTACTTACAGTTAGGAACATTTTTAATTACTTACCGATGTAGCTCCCCAACCAGTCACAGTAACATTCTGCCCTGCAGGAATGGCAGTATTCCGAGCCACTAGAGTGACTTTCTTAGTATTTTTCCCATCTATATTAATACGTTTCCGTAGTTTAACTAAGCCAACGTCGTAATCACTTGTAGTTGAATCATACATGGGATGTTGGAAGAATGTTTTTGTTGAGTACTGAGTACCGCCACTGTCGGATTCCGTACTACCTGCCCTTACAAATACTTCTTGCATTCTGCAACGTAAAGACCTAGATTAGAAGGGGTAGATTATCCGCGCTATTAGTTGTAATCAGCGATCCCTTACTCCCTTCATTACTTCCTTAAGTCTATAGTTTACGCAAAGATAAATATAAGACATACTGTCACGGATGCTGCAAAGCATCCGAAACGTCGGGCCGTAGTTAAAATAAAAAAAATAAGTTTAACTAATACATATAGCGTTTTAAACCATTAAAGTGCTTTATTTAAAAATATTGACATTAAATAAAATGCTTTTAAAGGTTTAAAATGGAAATTGTATTAGTTAACTTATTTATTAATTATATTATTTAGTTACCGTCCCTCCGTCTGCTGCAAAGAATCCGAAGACTCCTTCCGTAGTTAAAATAAGTTGACTAATATGTTTCGCGTTTTTGATTGTTAAAAGCGTTGTATGTAATATTGTTAAAGAAATTTAAACATTAAATAAGTCTACACATGAAAAATTGGACAATTCATACCCTGTCAAACAATGTGCTGCTGTTAGAACATTTCTTTCATTTAGGATAGAACCGCCACATTGGTAATAATCGGTTCCCATTCTTAATAAAAGGTATACTTGATACGGGTAGTTCTCAATCGTCGTATTGTATCCACCCACTATCTTTCCATCATGTCTGACGTGAACGCGTCTTCTACATAAAACATCTGAAAAAAAGTGCTTACATCAATGATTCTTTAAGTGCATAGGGAAAGGCAGAGGTCGAGAAAGAAAATCTTCTTTAAAACTATAAAAACTCACTCTGTGAACATAATAAGCAGAAAAATAACAATATCCAACTCTTAACTACCTCCATTCTCGTTAACACACAGTGTGTGTTTTTACTTTCCTGGTTCCATATTTAAACCATCTTCCTGATAATTATTTCTCTTCTTTGAGTTCGTTTTTATCTTAAGTGGTACCAATTGACTAATTAAAACCTCATTTCTATGATCGTTTCCAATGATTTTCAGTTTATCTACAATACCTTCATATTTAAATAGTTTTTCAATGAATATATGAGAAAAATGTTTATTCCGTAAGTAGTTTCCCATGGCCATGGCCGCTGTAAGGCATCCGACATTGTTCATTTCAAATCTGTTTTAAACCGTTTAAGTTATTATATTAATCTATTCTTTTGTGTTATTTCTTATTTTTAATTTTAGTACGACTATATTATTTATTTAATTATGCTGTTTATGTTCACCGTAGGTCAACTTACAAATTTTAAACATATTTATTTTACTGTCTAATATTAGATCATACGTTACTATTTATGTGTATATATAGCAATGTAGTTTTTATTTATTAAAAGAGCTAAACCATTATTTGTTCTAGATTCCAGCGATGGATAGTGCTAAAGAATTGGTAAAAAAATCAAAATAACCTTTTCCTAGTAATCACTTAAGAAGTTAAATGAAAAAGATTGATTAAACATTAAAGGTGCCCATCAAAACAACAAAAGCGCTGTAAATGGTGAAGTGTCGATGAAATACCTCTGAATAAAGTTAACAATGAAACCAATACAAATTGAATTTGCTCGGTCAATGCCGATTATGTATTGAAGTTTTATTGATTTATTTCGGTGTTATTGAAACATTAATGAAATTTAATTTTTGGTATTCGATAGCTCTTTATTTTAGATGCACGTTTTTATAACAACAACTAAACAAATCGTAATAGTTTTGATATCTGTACGAAGTCAAAATATATCTTAAGGATCTTCTTTTTGTTTTTAAGTATTTAGTTAGTCAACACTTTAGCATCTAAATTCTATTTAAATAAGACACTTTAACGGTTTAAAACGCGATATATTAGTTAAACCTTTTTTTACTTTGACGTCAGAGACATCCTCCATCTTTAGTCTCCCCGTGACCACGGCTGCTGCAAAACATCCGAAACGTCGGGCCGAAGTTAAAAATCATTTTCAAATAAGTTTAACTAATATATCGCGTTTCAAACCGTTAAAGTGTTTTATTTAAATGTGTACTACTCGCGTAAACTATAGACAGTATCTAAATTCTAGTGTTTTTATTAGTAACTACTTTTATCATGTTTGAAATAAAGTTTGTTACGAGATATAAAGGTAAGTGGATATGTGTCTCTAAAATCTTTTAATTTATAATTGCCTAACTGTACCTGTGAATAGAATGTACTAGGATGTTTAATGATTAGAAGTATAGTATCCACACTTTATTTCATACTAGCGGCCGTGTCCCGGCTTCGCACGGGTAGACATAAATAAGTACAAATATTTAAATTATAAGCATGCTAATTAAAACGACCATGAATCACTAAATTAGAAAGAAATTGTATTGAGCGTCCTCTCTATTAACGATCGTGGTCTATCTGGTTCAGGAGCCGCTGCGAGCGTTCAGTCTTAGTGTCCCGTGCATGCGTTCGCGAATTCCTAGATCTATTTCCTTCAAGTCGCTGCGACGATCTTGCATTTTTTTTTGCAAGACGAACCTGAACGTTCGACGATAGAATCTCTGGCTCGCGATTGGGAGGCATACACTCTAATACTTTCCAGACGAACATTTTAGTAAAAAGACGAACATTTTAGTAAAAAGACGAACTTTTGCTAATCTCGCTCGGAAGCTATTCTTAGATAGCTGAGACCTTCTCCTTCTAGGCTTATTTTAAGGCTTTATTGCTATGATGAAAGCGATATTTCTGAAAAGAACTTTGACAAACATTATGAAAAGTGTGATTCCTAATACTAAAACTAAGTAGCTCTGAAAAGAACTTTTTAAGTGAAGCATAAAAATGTTTTAAAAAAATCGAAAATTCAATGTCATTCGCGCCCACTGCGTAAGGAGCCCACTGCCCCTCTATCGTCGAATTAGTTACTCGATGCGCGGCATTGAATGCATTTTTATTTTAAATTCATGATATCTTTTGGATGCAATGTTCGATTTCAGTAATTAAAAAAGTAATCAATACGTATTGAGACAGTCTTGAATATTAAATTATTTATTTGGATAAAAATTTATAAATGGTATGGATAACACGGTCTGATTTTGATCGGCACTTCTATTAATTTGTTAAATGTAAAAAAGTAGTTATAGCGACGTAACTACAATAGTTAGACATATGCTCTCGATATATTTTTTTTAGATATTGATATATTCTATAATATTGTCGAACATTTTTTCGTCCTATCATTAATACTTTTCGCAGCGTATGCGAAGAAAGACATTTTACTGCTAATTTTTTTACGCCTTAAGTTGGTTTTAGTAAGAATTTCTATAGATGCCTATAGTAATCAAGTACTAAATATAGCCTATGTTACTTGGTGACAATGTAGCTTTCAAATGAAAAAAGAATTATTAAAATAGGTTCAGTACTTTTTGAGTTTATCCGTGACATACAAAAATACAAATCTTTATAATATAAGTATAGATAGGTAGGTACTATGTCAATAAAAATTCGATTACATATTGGAAAAAATCGATGATGACGTGTAGGACACGGTAGCGCAATTGGATAGAGCGTTAGTCCACACAGAATGCTGTGGATGCCGGTTCAAGTTCTGCCGGTGTCGTTATTTTTAAACTGTTTTTTTTTTTCAATTTATAATCGAATACTGTTTGTAGTTTACTCGAGTAGTACACATTTAGATAAAACGCTTTAAAACGCGATTTAAATAAGTTAAACTTATTTAAAAATAATATATCGCGTTTTAAACCGTTAAAGTGTTTTATTTAAATTTATAATCGATTTTTAATTTAAGTAGGTAATATATTTTAAATAAAAAGAACCTTAGTTTATACATGCATATTATTGCTCTGTAAACTTATTTTATGATCGCAAAATTTACGTCAAACGCTATACCGTGAAACTAAATTGTATTATCGCCGTTTTAATTGCAGGACCGAAATTATGTCACACAATAATTCAAACTTTAAAAGCGTTAACGACCAGTGTTTGCTCAAAGTTTAGACAATAAACGGCTAATTAAAGCGATACAAATATCGTCACGTACGCGAACTTGAAGGTTAACTATTGTGAAATTCGTATGTGAAATACTGACTGAGAAACCGTTTTACATAATTTCATAGTTAAGACACTTTTACTCTCGAATGTTTTTTTTGTTTTGACACTAAGATCGCCGCGCGGTGCTACCCGCGTTTATTTACATTATCACAACTTTAGTATTTCTTTTATTTTGGATTTTTAGAGGATGTACAATAATTTAAATACGATATTGATTTCGTCAAAATTCAAATCAAAATCTAACCGTTAAAACTAAATACTGTCTGTTGCTGTTGTTGCTATACGCGAGTAGTACCTACACATTTTTATAAAACACTGTAACCGTTTAAAACTCGTTAGGATTAAGATAACAATTGGTTTTACTAAGACATCACAATAAAGAGAGTTTTAGCAGGAATTATTACTCATTTATTGCAGTAGAAGTTACTAAATAATATTTTTATATCAGACCACCAGTCATTTAAGGTAAAGCATTTTCTATATATTGATAAGTATTAGAACAATTCACTTTTGTTAGTGTTTAGCTCGTGCGCGCCATATTTTGTAACGTAAGTAATAAAAGTTTTCGACATCGACCTCTCGATGTAAATAGTCTAGACGCTTTGTTGTATTTTAATAACGTAATTAAAAAGAAAGACAATTATTATTATTGAAAAATGTATTCACTTATTTTGTTGTTAAGTCTTGCAAAAATATTTTTTTGGTAAGATAAAACAAGAGAGATGCGCGAGAGGTGCGTGTATCAATGAGTTGAAATCGACGATGACGTACGACACGCCATCGTCGATTTCAATTGGTTAGACCAACAGCACGGAACGCTGACGATGCCGGTTCAAGTCCTGCCCGAGTCGTTAATGTTTTCAATTTATTTTCGATTTTTAATTTATAAAGTGCCATCATGTGCAATAACATGTGAAAAGTTTTCAAAGATAAAACAATATATAACCGTTGATATATTTTATTTCCAGAAGGAAATAGCTTCATACAGTTCCGTGCAAAGCAAACATATTGCAAGTCTTGTCTTTCCGTACATACAGTGTTCACACATTGTGTGGCCTTTATTTATCAATCAGACGATGCGAGGGTCTTTGTAACGTTACACCTTAGAATCGGAAACGTAGCTATTGTACCGAATTGTTTTAATTGGCGTTAGGAGGATGCTGGCTAATGATGTCTTACTGCGACACACTGCTTTTCCGTTCAACGAACCAGCTAAAGAATTGAAACCGATTAAATAATATTTACAAAAAAGTGCGTTTAAATAAAACCAAATACGCGTACGTTGAAATATATTCGTTAACTTATTTACAATTTAACTACGGCTCTAAATAGTTTTTTAGTTTTTAAATAGTAGTGTTTTTATGAAATTCGCGAAAACTACAGAGAAACAGCCTTTTTTATTTTTAAGTTACCTCAATAAAAGAAATTAGTTAATATATATATACAATTTCCTGATAACAAAATAACTTAAGTTACCACGATACAATTCATACATGAATCACCGATTATAATTATAAGTAAAAGTCAAGTACAAATAACCGGAAAAATTATTATAATAACAC